CCCCTAGGGAGAAGCTTTGAAAAAAATTTTTTCAAAGTAACTCCATATGTTGTAAAGCAGACCCTTAGATGCGTAGAATTTGAAATTCTATTTTTTTTACAAACCGAAGTCAGACCTGAAATTGCTTTGAAAAAGTCTGCTTCAACTTCATGACTCACTGGGTCAGCTTGTGCAGTCGCTGCAGCATGACTGAGAGATTGGATCACTTTCTGCAGTCAAGCATGACTGACAGCATGGATCAGCTTCTGCAGTCATTTGTTCAAGATTTGAGGCACAACCAGTCAGGCGAGTGCTGTTCCCAGGATGGATCCCATGGCGAGCACTGGCCCTGTGCCTGCAACTCCTGCTGATACTGAGCAAACCTCAGTGTCAACTTGGCAGGTGGAGGTTCCTGATGGTGATGCGCTCCATGAGAGTTGGGCCCAGGCGATGAAAAAAGCACTGCAAAAGTGCAATGAAGAGTATGGTGGCCCGCAGAACTATCTTGCAAACAGGTTTGCCGAAAGGCATGAGTGTGTCAGTTGGCTGGAGTACCTCTTGCATGTGGTGCCCAAGTCCTGCAACAACTTCTGCTTCAAGCAGGATGGGGGCGGTGTTCTGCCCCAGGACCTGGGCAAAGCGATGCCACTGCTGATGCATCCGGCGGTTTTCTCCTTTGACTTGCGCTCCTCAGTGAAGGGGCCGAGCGAGAACGACACTGTAACGGCACTCGCTGATGAGATCTTGAAGGATGGCTTCGTCACTGCCGGGGACCCGATCCTGGTTACCCTTTCAGACTTGAGGGTGGAGAAGCCGGATGAGGACTCGAGCAACTCTCAGAAGCAATCTGTTTGAATAGATTCCATCATAATGTGCTGCTGTTGTTTCTGATAGTATCTCTTGCGTGCATCAGGAGCTGATCTCTGTGCCCTGGGAATCTCCTGGTGTTCGGCCGTTCTCTGTGGGGTATTACAAGGGCAGGACACGTGTCATGACCATGATGACCTTGCTCAGCCTTGCACGTGACAATAGCATGGACAACTTTGCAGAGGCAGCATGGGGACAGACAGTGGCTGTGGATGTTCAGTCCTGTCTGTGCTTACTTGATACCAGCTTGTGATGCTTTTGCTTTCAGGTGCATCCCCAATTGCTCGAAACCATGCGTGCTATCTGGGTACAACCGATCCAGTGTGTTTCCAAAAGGGAAGAGATGCTGGGGAATTTCAAGCTGAGCGTGCGCGGATCAATCAGAAAAGCCCCGAACGTGATGAACCTTGGTTTTCAATGTTCAGTTGTCACTCACAGCCAGTTCCATGTCAAAAATGATTCCATACATTCAACTTACTAAGAACATGGGTCACCAGCATCGCCAACCTCAAGCTGCATGAGCCTGCATTGGATGTGGCAGAATTGGCGACTCTGCGTTGTTCAAATCTTCCACATGCTACACGTGATTATTCTACTTGTTTTGGTGTTCTTTTGACTGATCCCTCTGAGCTCAGATCCGGGACAACAACCGCCGCAGCTCCAAGCAGGGCCAGCTGGTCGGCGCAAAGGCCCAATCCGTCAAGCACATCATGGAGCAGTTTGATCCCCGGGCTTTGAAAGCAATCATCAGCTACACGGTGCAAGTTGGCCATGACAAAACACCTTGGTCTGATGATTCCCTCAGCTCGAAGAAAGTCCTACCAGGGTTCCAGCGCCCTGGCAGCAGCTGTTGCGTGATGATGAAGTTGCCTGAGTCGGTGAGCCTGCAGAATGCATTCATTGTGCCTCAGCCAGGTTCAAGTCACAAGGCGGCCCGGTGTGGCAGGCCCGCGGAAAAGTTACCCAAGACAGCAACTTTGTCATGGTCGCTTGGCTTGGGATGCATGATAAGAAGTGCATGGTCAGCATAATATCATGTGGCAAAGCAAAGAGAAACATAGTTTTGACGAGTCGAGGTGAGGCGACAGATGGCCATGTCTAGCGCTGTGCCGCTATCCATGCGGAAGAAGATGGATAAGAAGGAGACGGAAAACATTGCAGAAGAAGCAGCCTTTGTCGTTGCAGTTACTGCAGAAGTGCAGAATGCCATGCCGGTTTCCGACGCGGTGCTCGCAGCTGAGTGGGTGGACAAGTACGTGGAGGGTGACTCTGGTGTCCTGCTGGAGGTTCAGTCGGCGATCCTGCAGAGAAACTGCAAGCATGTTTCAGAGTTGGGCACCATCCAGCAGATCATGAACTGTCATGCGGGAAATGCGCCTGTCACATCCAGCAGTGCTACCACACACATGGTTCAGTTGGAGTCCGAGAGTTTCCAGCTTGTCATGAAGCAGCTGGCATATGACTGCCAAGCACTGCGAGTGGCAAGGTCCAAGAAGAACACGTGGGAGTCGACAGTGTACCATGCAAAACTCCAATTCCGAGTACAAGCGTACCAGGAGTCGTGCAAGGCAGCGAAGCACTTCCTTGACTCGAATTGCCACATCTTCAACTACAGCAAGCCGGAGATGATGGCAAACTCAATCCTCGCATACTGCACAGACACGACACAGAAGTTCAAGCTGGACAAAACGGCGTCAGTGTTTGACTGAGCTTCTCCCACAAAATAAGTAACACTCATCACATAGTATAACAGGAGATGGGCTTCAAAACCAAACCTTGTTTGTGAGGCAAGCTTGTTCTTCTTGAATTGGTCGGCGCCGTGCACCATCAAGAAGGGTGCCAAGAGTGCTCAGTTGGCATCCTGTCAGGCAGTGCTGGCATCATCAGAGAACAACATCGGGATCATGTTGCAGCCTGAATTCACCTACAAAAAGAATCAGCTTTGGATGTTGGAGAATGCCCACGCAAAGGACCTAGCTTCCCACGGCATTAGCCTCGACAAAGGATGGATTTTGATGTTCAAGGAGAAGGTGAGCGTGTAGGGTGACAAAGTTAGTTGTGTAGATTTGCCAAATAGCAGCTAAATGTGAACAGGGTATTTGATTTTATCTGCTCCCTTTTTTTTTCATGGTCACCTGAGAGTCAGTCTCCAATCCAGGTGGATCAGCGTGACAACCTGCGGCCTCTGAACTACAGGGGACGAGTTCTTGAGGGTGCCATTGCAAGGGTTGCCCCCAAAGACAACATTTGGAAGAACGCTGCCATCCTGAAGGAGGGCCGCACGGAGCCTGCAACACAGGTCTCCTCGAAGGAGCTCGTTTTCATTGAGACCGCAGATGAGTCAGCAGAGGTTGCCCTGGCTGCTGATGATTCGGTTCAGGGTGGCAAGAAGGTGGAGCAAATTGGCGCCTGCGCGTGCACCAAGATTCTTTCGGGCATGCTGGATGATTTGCAGCTGGCTGGCCGGGCCGGCGTTTTCATCATTGACGCCCACATGAATGTTGGCAACATGTTCGACGCGTTCACTGCGATCCGCTCCAAGTACAACTTCCCCATCTTCTACATTGGGGCAAGTGACGATGAGAACTGTGTGAGCTGGTTCTTTGAGACCAAACAGGACCTTTGGGTAATGAATAGAATAAAATGTGTTTGCTTCATCCCTGAAATGTCTGATACATCATGATGGCCAGGCAGAGATTTTCTTGTTCTGGGGCTTCTAGTCCTCCTGACTTGCAGTCTTTGTGGATGTTGGATATTTAGAACATGGAGCATGGATATCTGTGCCAGAAGTGGAGCTTCAGCTAATGTTCTCTCGCGCAAACACTAGCTACATACCCTTTTTTTGCCTTCATTCAGGATGCCCTGGCCCGCCTCCACATGTCTGGCGATTTGACTGTGCCTGGCTTCACGAAGGCTCCTGCTGAATGTCCAGATGATCTCTTGGAGAAAGAGCCTGCGCTGCCGCCCCTCAATCTGATGACCCCCACAAAGTGCTTGTATCCAAAAGTCCCTGCGAATGTGATCAAGGCCTGGTGTCTTCAAAGACCTCTTATTCGGGTTTAGGTTCTCGCTGCTAGTACTTGCATATAGGCTTCCTTTCTTGGCATTGAAATTGACCCTCCAGGAGTGGTCGACTCACCCGACCCATGGACAGGAATTCAGAGATTATCTGGACAGCTTGATCGCCGAGTTCGGTCCGTGCCCAGAGGAGGCCGAGCCGAAGCCCGATGGAGGCAAGACGGATGAGAATAAGACTGGGGGCACAGCAGGAGCATCTGGCACTGGGACCGGCGATGGCAAGTCCAAGACCGTCGTGCCGAAGCGCAGGATCTCTGGGTCTGGCTTGCCAGACTCCAAGCGCAGAAAGGTCGCGGGCGACAAAGTGACCACCATCGAGTCGGTTGGGCGTGAGTCAGTCTTGGTGGAGGCGCCAATGATCAACGTGAAGGCCACTGGGGTCTCCCTAGTCTTAAAGGCTGGCGGTCGTGGCTATGTCTTCAATGGAGGCTCAAGCGAGACAGTGCTGAAGGCAGGGACGATCCTCTGCGGATATGGCAAGGGCAAGTTCCGTTTCGCCAACAAAGACGGACAGCCCGCAGGCGATCCTGCTGCAGAAGTTCAGTTCCACCTCAAAGGCCCTGAGGATCTCGTTCCTCTAGCTGAAATTTTTCAGTTTGACAAAATGAATGAGAGTTTGATTAATTTCAACACCCTCTGACCTAACCTGACTAAACCCAAGCCTTGCTCATGAGGTGCTGCACAACGGCCAGCTGCTGACCCTCGGCCAAGTCATTGAAGCGCAGCGCTCCAAGGTTCCCGTCATCAAGATTGCGTACCACAAGCTCACAGATGCGCCCAAAGATGGCATGCCAGGAAACTTTACTCTGGAGCTCTCTCAGAGTGTTTGGTACAGTCCAGAGAAAGGAGCGGCTGTGCAAGGAGCCGGAAATGAGAGTGGTGAGCCTGATGCTAAACGCAATTCTGAGAGCCCAACCACTGGTCAAATGACCGCAGCAAGGCTGTTGCCAAACTCCTCATGGGACAGCGGGTGTGTCAGAATCTTGTTTACTGTCAAGTGGCTTGCGACAGGGCTGTGGCCCGTGCGTGCCCACCCAGTTTTGATCCAGGATTGCGATCTTCCACCAGGCCGCGCGCTTGTCCTGAACTAAATAAACTCCCCTCAACTTCATCGTGAAGCCCAGGTTTCTTTCACAATTCAATTCAAAGTCATTCATGCAAACACTGAGTCAGCCTCCTTTCTCTAGTCTAAATTTGTATACTCAAAATGCCAGGGCATGGGCACGGCCAGCCAGATAGAGTTCGATCAGCATAGTCTCCTGTCCTGGCCTGCGCAGAGCGTAGGTCTGATGCATTTTGGCCATGTCAGCTGTTGAATTTCTGTGGCATCATGTCTTGTGGGCACTGGAAACCTGTCAGATTGCTTCGGGGCTTCCCGCTATGCAGCTACTTACAATTGACTAAGATTAATTAGAAGCGACTTGGCTGGAAGCTGAGACGGGCCACCCAGTGAAAAAGACATGGCACCGCACCAGCTGTCCTGAGCAGCAGCGTCCCAGCAATGGAGGAGACCTTCAGACTGATTCATGTTACGATGCCTGGAGAAACGTCCGAAGAAATGCAGGGTCTGCAAAGCACCCAGGACTTGTTTTTGGATGCTGAGCGCATACAATTCGTCTTAGTGTCATTCTGTCATTGGCAGGCTACAGACGAGCACATCATCAGCGTGGCTGTGGACAAATAAGGCCAGCAAATACCAAACACCATAGTTGTAAGCTGACTTCTTCTTATTATAATGTTATTGTTCTTATTCAGAATTCGAGCCAACGCAAGAACGGAAGGTGAATGAATTGGTTGTATCTAATAATAGTTCACACATGGCATCAGCTGTTGCTTATTGTCCTGGCCATGGAATTGCGGAACTTCACATTTGCACGAAGAATTTGGGCTGCCTGCCCCATGTCCATAGGACCGTAGGACCTGTACACAGCCGCACTTTTGATCCTGGCGTACTGCATGCCGGCTTCCTCTGGCACTTGATTTGCCTTCATCATGTTAATGCAAGTGTTCCTGCAAGAGTGGGATCTCAATCTTGATGTTGATTCACAAAAGATGCCCTTCTTGGGCACAAACCGACCCCTTACTCTGCAAATCGCTTTGCTGACTGCATCTTTGTTCCGGTATGGAGCTGCGCTGTCTGCCCGGCTTGCTGGGAAGAGCCAGCCATCAGAGTCATCAGATGGCCACTCCCAACGATCCTGGAAGGTTATTTGTCCACGGCTTCCTTGATGTTGTGTTCGCTTGCAGCCCGCGCCTCTGTTTTTCAGCGCAAGAAGTACCTTCAGCGTTTCAGGGACTAAGGGTTTGCGAACTTCGGGTTGTCGCTTCAAGGCATTTATGCGAATCAGCCGCTTGTTGAAGTCAATGTCATCACGGTGCAAGCGACAGGCCTCCGAAACTCGAAGACATAAGAGCGTCGCAACTTTCACAAGCACATGAAGCCAAGTAGGCCCCGTCTGCATGAGAAAACCGAGCCAGTCTTTCATGAGCGGCCCAGCAAGCGTTGCTGCTTTCCCCAGTTTTTTGCTTGAGGCCTTGAACTTGCCATTGGATGCGGTGCTGGACTTGGATGACCGCTTCTTCACCATGTCTAGACGGCGTTGACTTGTAGTAGCTATGCCTCGAAAGACTTCTCGCGCAACGCAGGACTATGTCAAGCCAGAATCATTGAGCCAAATACTGAAGTAGTGTCAGTCGTCGTGACACCAGGTCTAGGTTGGCCCTCGCTCTGAAAAGTGGCTCAGGTATCAGTTCTGAAAAATACTGTACCTGGATCTAAGAACAGCCTGTTAAAAGTGGAAATGCATTTAACTTCCTGTGACACTGCATTGCCCTGTTCAACTTCCCAGCTGATCCTTTTGCCTGGACAACTCCAACTGTTGAATAACTTACGTTGGTAGCCCACCTTTACTGTAGAACACCTCAACTCTTTCCGGTAGTCCGCCTTTTGACACCAAAAGGCGGACTCCCCCAGCAGAAATCCAAAACCCCAACCCACGCTGCCAGCAGGCTGGCAAGCGGGATCCCCCACCAGAAATCTAAAACCCCAACCCATGCTGCCAGCAGGCTGGCAGCGGAACCGGACTCCCCCGCCAGCCAAATGCTAAATCAGAATCCGCATGATGGCCAGGTGTCAGTGTGTATTTAGGGGAAACCAATAGCTAGATTGCCTGAGACAATTAAAGCCCATGACGACTTCTGAATGCAATGTTAAATCTAGAGAGTCTGTTGTGCCTTCAGGCTTGCCAGGAGCAGCCGCCACATGAGAACCACAACAGGTGGAGACCTCAGCAAATTGAAGCAATATGAAGAAGTTGAAATTTTAGTTGCTGCCAGCTTGCTGGTAGCAACTACTAGTCAAGGAATCGGTCGGCTGCCAGCAAGCTGGCAGCCATCAAGTCAAGCTGACAGGCGTTATGTGTTCAAGCAAGTGTAGAGAACATGAGCTGAATCTGAGTTTGCCGGCAGGTGGCCTTTAAGGTTTCACAACCGGTAACCTCCAGTAAAAGGCTGTCTCATGTTCAGGCATGTTTGTTGGCTGCCGACGCCTCGGTCATCACGCGGTGCCTTACAGAGCATTCAATTCTTTGTCTTTCAACACTCATAATGCATTGGCGATGGAAAGCAATAACAGAATTGGTACCTCCACTAGTACTAGCTGTAGGCCCAACCGAAGACGTGTGCCTTGTTGCTGTCATATCACGAAGTAACTGCAGCCGACCAATCGCTCAGCTTCTCGTTTAGGTTTCCCATGCTGCTGATGCTGCTGCCACCAGTCGCTGCTATCCCAGTGCTGTTGCTTTAACAGTTTCTGAGGCTGAGATGCAAACCACTCAACCACGCCGACCACAAGGCTGATCAATTTGCTGCAACTGCTCCTGAGTTGCTGTCTGGAGGGTCTTACCTCACTCACCGACCCTGCTGCGCACTAGCGCTTTAAATGGAACAGAAATGTTTTTTTTACAGGCGGGGGGGGGGGGGGGGAGCTGCCAGCTTGCTGGCAGTAAATTAGAGTCCATTGTCTGTTGCTGTCAGCTTGCGGGCAGGAATTTCGTGAGTTGCTTTTGCAGGCTTGCATTTGCCTAGGATGATATTATTGCGAAGTCAGGAAGTTCGCAGCTAAGTCATTCTCGAAATGCATGTAGGCTGGCCGAGAGAGAGTCAAACCCTAAGAAATCTTGAGGTGATGATCTTGAACACCGTCAGACTGGCTGAGAGCTTGGCCGAGCAGGCCGGGAAACCTGGCTTCAGATAGTTACTTGTTACAATGCACAAGCTGACAACACATGCGCTGGTACTATGTGCAAGTCAATGCAGCAGCGAAAGGAAACATGAATTCAGCAGAATGCTCATGGATTGTTTTCACTTCCAGACTTTTGCAGCCTCGAAAGACACAGTCTGTTAAGGCCTCCGTGAGTCACCGGTTCTGCCAGCCACGCGCCAAAACGTACGCAAGCTCGAGTGACTCTCTGCTCACAGATTCAGATTCGTCCTGAGCCTGAGCCCCGTCCAGTGATTCCTCTAATACTTCTACCTCCACCTCCACCATGGACCGGGAATCTGGTGAGTCTACACAGACTTCCTCCTTTGATGACTCCTCGGTGTCCGCCAACTCCGTCTCCTCGACAGCTTCGGCTTCGGCCACATCATGATGGTCTGGCATTGGAGGTCCATCCAGCGTCTCAGAATCTGCCGCATCATCCTGGTCGTCCAAGGGCCATGGGCGTGGTGACAAGTCTAAGTCCAGCGATTCAGATTCGGCCTCTTCTGCGCCCTCTGACTCTGGAGCCTCAACCCACTCCTGCTCTGAGTCTGCTGATGCCTCTGCTGTGCCAGCCTCTGCTGCATTTGACGCCATTGCCTGCTCTGCTGTGCCAGCCTCTGCTGCATCTGATGCCATTCCTGGCACAGAATCGTCTTCGTCCTCGGCCTCAGACTCAGCCTCGTCCGGGAACGGGTACTCAGCGTCTACAGCGACTTTCTCACTAAAGCGACGCCATTTCCGGTCTGTCTCCCGTCGATTTTTGCCAGCTCTAGCACGCATTGTTCGGCGCTCTCGCCTTTGGGAACCAGGAGCATTGTTGCCCCAACGCTTGGCCGTCCATGGCCCTCTTGGCCGAGCCCCAGCAGTATTCATGGCTCCAGCACGGAGATCAAGGTCCTAAAGGTCCTAAACTATCAGCTATTCACTTAGTGCTTGGAAGCTACTTTTCCCATGCACTTGCTTGAAGCCCCAGCGTGCTAGACAGCGTTGCTACCTTAGCTATGAGGGATGCTTTTTTGTTTTACCTTGGCATGTTCTGTAACTGTCCTTCCCTGAAGCAATTAGCACTGCTGGCCAACTTGACCATATAGTCAAACCAACTAGAGTATTGCAGCCTTGTCTTTGTTATGTGTCTTTCACCCGGGACATGCCCAGTAATGCCTCCTGTAGATCAGTGTTGAAGGTAGTCTGAGAAGCCTGCGTGGCTGCAGCCCAGAGTCAAAGGTTAAAGCATGATGGTTTCACAGAAGACACCATGTACTACGTTGGGATAAGTTGCCAGCCAGCTGGCAACAAGGCCCTTGGACTGAAAATGTTTACGATACATGATGATCTATGGAACGGGCTTCCAGTTGCCTGGAAGACCGCTTAAGACTAAGATGTAGCCTCAGAACCCAAAACGCAGCAACTGAGCATGTCTGCAGGCAGAAAGCACATGGCAGGTCTGTGCCTCAGAGAGAGACCATTGCTGATGCCAAGGATGAAGATTGCTTTGCCTAGGTGCGGTTCGTACTGCCACTTTGTGCAATGCAACACGACAACCAATTGCTGCTTTGCCTTGGGCTAAAGTTGCACAGCGACGTCCAAATCTACCGACGGGTCAATATGTCAACTGCACTGATGCATCATTTCCTGTTAGAAGAGCATGACAACATAGGCAATGGTAAAACGTGCTTCTTCATGGAAATGTGAGAGCATGATGCCGGCACTGAAAATCAGGACCCAGCCCTAATCCCCTGCAGCCATGGATGATGCTGGCTCATACGAGTGGGCCGAGTGGGGCTGGAAAGACTGGCAAGACTACTCAGCAGAAACGTGGGAGCAGGC